GTAAAAACATTCTAATGTCAGCGCCTTCTACATTATACGTGACGTTTTTTGAGTAACAAGATTGTGTAAAAGCTGTCAAATCTCACACTATCTACACTGAGGGAAATCGACAAAAAATAAAGTTTTGCTAAGATAATCTGTATTATAATAGCAATGACAGTAGCTATAGTAGATCATATTCGGTGCAATTTATTAAATCATTGCCTGTCAAGGGATCCAGTGCAGTACGGTTTTAAGGGGTTTAGAAAATGAATAATTTCTTTATGCATTATGAAGGGATGAAGGGATTAGTTCACGTCAGGCACCCCTGTTCCTACATTTATTCCATTATTTTCATAAACTATTTATTTTAAATGTAATTTATTATAAATCCAATTTGTTTTTTAAATTCCACATATGCATGAAAATTGACACTTCAACCCCAATAAAGGGGTGTATGGGGGTGGTAAAGTGACGCTACGGGGTAACGACGGGTCTTATTCATTTTTGGTAGACTTCTTCGTTCTTAGTGGCCCAGAAAACAAAGGAATACTCACCTTACTCGACTTTGTATGAGAATTTACTTTTCAACTCCCAGAAGGGAGTGTATGGGGGTTGTAACGGGGAAATGTCTAGTTAAATTTTTTTTTAATGGTCATATTCGGTTTCAGCGACCCCAAAAGCGGAGGGGTAGGGGGTCTACCTGGGTCTTGACATTATTTTTTTTTGTGTGCCTGTGTTATGAGCATATCATAATATTCGCGATTGCTAAATAAATGCGCCATTTTCAAAAGAAAACTTGGAAATACGTCTATTCAATGTGCTGTACTGAAAAACAGCACAGCAATCACTACAACAATATATTACAAACTGACTTTTGAATACAGTCCGGCTTCATAAAAAACCTACAAACTCGTAAAAAGTGTTACAGAATGTTTTGTAAGTACTCGCGATAAAATACATGTATTTCAGCAGTTCCAAAACAGTTTTAAACACATTTTTAATTAGCTTTTTTCCTCTATGACCTTAAACTTCCGATACAAGTTTGTGACATCAGCTAACTCCGTTTTTGCTCATTTTCACCCTTTTAAATGTTTGACATAAGATCATTAACACCCTGTATAACTGTTTTGTGTTCAACATTGCAAAAAAGAAGGGTCCCTTGTCTGTCTGTCATACAAATAACGACCGTAATAAGAATTTTGTTAGGGCTAATCAATATCTACTTATAGATAGATGATATTTCCCTCAGTGTATGTGTGGGACTATGTCTCCGTGTATATTTGAAGCCGGTGATAATAGAACGTGTTTTCTTGCATTAGAAGCTTTAATAGTTTGAAAATGTGGCTGCACCTGTTTTTAGAGATTTTCTTAGTTCATATTCTTTTATTATTTCAGGAGATATTTACAGTAAATGAATTTTTGTGGAGATTTTTAACGTCTTGTATCTCGAAAACGGTAAAAATTTTGAAATAAGTATATGACAAAATATCATTACTTTTTGTCTATGCACTGCCTAATTGTAATAGAATAAAACTGGCACACCCTGTATAAAACTGTCCACTAGTATTTGTACGTATTTATCAGGTTTTTGAGCGTATTATTTAGTCATATTTTTGTCAGCGTTTTTAAAATAATTTTCTCAATTTTATACGTCTATTAAAGAAGTGTTCTATTTCTATCCATTTCAAAATACCATCTAAAATTCTAAAATTTGTTTTTTCTTTTAAATAACTTTATTTCATAAAAAGATGAGATCCGAGGTCACCAGATGTAGTCTCAACGACTGTCCAAGTTGACAAGAACTTCCAAAAAATTAGGCAAAATTTGCATTGTGAAACCATTGGATGCGATATTAAAGAAAGGTATTTTTTTATTAAAATTTTGCCCGTTTCTATGCCATTGGAATTTCAACACGAACAAATTGGCTCTTATTGCTTATCTCTTTCTTGGAAATCGTAAAAGTGAAACATCCTTATCTACGATTTATTATTGTTATTATTCACATTTTGTTTGTTTGTTTTAGTGCTTGGTGTACAGGGTGAGACTTTAAATTATTTCGGCATAACACCGATAGCTTTTAAAAAATAACTTGGCTATTTTAAAAACTTTTTCAACATTCCAACAGAAAACTATTTGTTTAAAAATATATTAATACTGAATAGGTCCTATTCCTTTTTTGAACCCTTTTAAAAAAAATGCTCTGCGGATGATTTTTTAATGTAAAAATGAATTCAGCTTTTTGTTTTTATTTTTAAAAAGTCCTGTTAACTTTGGAACGTACCTTATATATGAGTTTTCTTTAGCACAAGATAGATCACTGATTTTTTTTAACGTAAAAAGTGTGCTGCATTGTTCAAAGCCTTTTGTCGTTATGTAAGTTTCGACAGTACCGTCCCGGCGTTCGAGATCTTATCGAAAGTTATGTTTATGAGAGAATAGCTTCGTGAATCTTACCGTACCATATACACGTATGCCATCGGGACGATTCTGTTTTTAAGATCTCATCCGTTACGGCCTGAGTAATTGCTAGGCCTTATTTACAAATAAGGACCAGATGTCGAGATTAGATTTACTAAGTTGGCTTTTTAATAAGGCCCCACCATATTCGCCGACAGAGGAGTCGGGAGTAGTTTCATCGCTAGATATTATTTATGGCCTAAATGATGGTGATGTATGGTGATGGTGTATACACGAATATGCCGGGGGACGATGTTAGAGTTCGTTATTTTGGGACTCGTTGAGGCGTACTATTTCAAAAAATTTACTAATTTACAGGGTGATTTTACATTGTAATTTGTAATATACGATAAGCACTGTAAAAAACCTACTATCAAAGGAGTTATGTCGTTGGGTAAGGTCTTAGCTAGTGACATCTAGCAGACGGTCACAAGCTAGTAACTGACATATTTAACATCTTCAAAAACTTATCATATTTAATTCATTATGTTGTATTTTGGAAAAGATATAATTAAAATAGGCAGATTTAGGTTAATTCACCTATATCCGAAATCGCTAAGTCCATGAATCTGTGGTCTTCCGATGTACACGTTATTCTGGGACACTGTATAAGTAAGATTCGTTTTTGTTTAGAAGTTACAAGAATTTAGAAAAAATATAATTATAATTTCATATTTCAATCAAAGTGGCCTGATAAATAAAAATGATGGTTGCTATAACAATAATCACACAGGCCAACAAAATTTTAAAAAAGGAAAAACCCAGAAAGCAAATACGTGCCCGAAGGTTCTTGATGCGCTGAATCCGAATCTGTCCTCAGTATTGACCCATCACCCTAGGTTTCCGAGATATTCTAACCTAAATGTGTAAAAACACGGTTTTTTGCTATATTCAAGGTTATCGCGAATAATTTTTTTCCCAAAAATCAATTACACCACTGAAAAGTAGAATCTCTACCCTTCTTTTGATTTAAAGAAATTTTCATTTTTCGCCAAGATATCTATGGCCAAATTAAGAAATTTTTTAGACAGCAGACATAATGTATTTTTATGTTTTTTTGGGTCGCTGAATTCGAATCTAACCTCAATATTTTCCAATGACCTCACATTATTGAGATCTCCTAAACCAAAAGGCCAAAGTGCTCGAATTTCGTCTTGAAATGTGAAATTATATTTTTCAAGATGCTTGTAACTTTTAAACAAAAACGAATCGACCTATGCTAAAAGCAAGAAACCTGGTTTTGTCAGTTTTCATATTTAAATTCTGTCTCATAATTTTGTACCGATTGCTTTGAAAAACAAATTTCTGACAGCAAGACAGAGCCGTCTAATTTTCCGTACTTGTTGTCATTTTCTATTAATTTCAACAGATACAGGCAGAAGAAAATGTTGAATGGAACTGTGGGAGTGTCAGACATTTGTGTTTTTGTCACTTCTTGTTGTATTTGCCAGCTTATATTTTTTTTTATTAAAAATAATTGCCAGTTGGTCGATTCTGTTTATGTTTCCTGTCGACATTTCTCCTAATTGGTGTAACATTAAACACAAAATGAAAGAAAACGGCACAATGTAGCCGAGTTTTAACATATTAACTAAAACAGATGTTCCTTTCAGATGAATATTACTAGTTTATGTTAATACATAGTATAATAATTTTATAAACTTTCTAGATCCAGAGAGATAAAAGAATTTATCGGCGGAATGCCTACGTAATTTAAATTTTCAACGGCAACTTCATAATTAGCCAATTCCTTCAATCGTCTGAATTTCTATTTTGAACAGTTCTCCTCAGTCCTCACAGGTAGAAATCATCGCATGGATTTAGGTCTGGCGATCGCGCGCACCATAAAACAGGTCAATCGCGTCCGATCTAACTATGAGGAAACGTATCGTTGGTAAAAAAGGCGCAGTTAATAGGCACCAGTTAATCTCTGTGGTGGAATGAAAGGCTCAATTAGAATACCATTATCTATACCCGCCCATAACTTAATTGATAATTTATGTTGGAAATTCATCTTTGGGGCCTCGAGCTGTTTACTCCATTCTGTAAGTGTTGCCTCGTCAGTTATTAACACTCATTTAGTGAAATTTTCATTCTCATTATTTTGTTGCAATAACCACTCAGGTATAAAAAACAGGATACAGTTGATTTTTATGTAGAGGGACAGCGAGGTAAATAAATCTCGCGGTCTTGGATGTAAATGTGGAGATGCTTGTACCTCATTTTGACGACCTTCCCCGTAAATCAAAATCACGTCACATGCTCATTATTATGGTATCTCTGTGCCTGTGTTGGCAAACATTTTTATCGCTGCTCACTAACACAAAAAAGTTATTAATACAAAAATAGTAGTATCCTCAACAATATTACACTAACGCCTAAATTGTCATTAAAAACTCAAACCACAACTTGGAATAAAAGCAATTATTACATTGAAAACATCATTAATTTTAAATGTGAATATCTCGAAAAGTATTTATTTTTTCATCAGTTCGTTGTAATTTTATGTCCAGATTTGGTGTTGTTTTTTTCTCGATTTCATCTGCTCTCTTGATTTACAGGCAAGGTCGAACCCGGCCCTCATTCATCATCCTTCAACATGGGATACCTCGTTTCCCCCTACAGCTACGCCAATGGAGCGGCTGGACCCATCCCCGTGTCTATGGTGAGTACAATGGGCAATATTTATATTTTTTACCATTTTGACCCTGTCTTCTACCGCCACGGAATAATATGGCGCTACCAGTACTTTTTTTTCAAAGATATGCAATTTTAATTATAAATAGGTACTTTAAATTTTATCTCCAAAAACGGATTTTACACCTTTTTGACAAATGCAAGATAAACGTATTTTTAATTTGAAAGTTAGTCAAATAAATAGTTACAATTCTTTTTTTTTTTCAAAATATCTGGGAAGCCCTATCAGCTAGAGCCGATCTGCAAACACCTTTAATTTACTGTATACCGGGTGGGGTATTTATTTTGAGACAAAATAATATCTTGGTTGGACTCGATTATTTCGAAAAAAGTTTCAGACAAAAATTGTAGGGCACCAAGGGGGCCATTGAAAATCCATATTATGACTTCCGTCCGGTCTAGTCCGGAAGTGGTGTTTTAGACCGGAAGTAACTTTTACCACGGAGTTCGATTGAAAAACGAAATAAAAAACTTTGTTCTTATTTTTTTCGATTTAACCCATATTTGGCCATAAAATGGTCATAAAAAACAAAAAAACAGTCTTGAGACAATGAAGTACCTTCTTGGGATCATTTTTTCTTAAAAAATGTTTCATACAAAAGTTGTAGGGTGAAAATGGGGCTATCTTGACATGACCTTGACTTTTGAAGATCAAATGCACACTTCAGTCCATGAAAATCTTCAGAAATCTGAAGAAATTCTTCATTTCAGCGAAAACAAGCACCCCATAGGGAATAAAAAACTACTACGTCCACGTCATTATTTCTGAGTAGTGCTAAAAGTTGTTGATAATTAGGTATACAGTTTTTCGACCTTAAAATCACCTTGATATCTGATCTTGTTCTTGAGGTTAAATTCACACCTTATTGTAAAACTTCCCGCTCTTGTAATTTTCGAGGGTTCCATTTAAAATTTTGAATTTGATCCTCAAACGACCTTGAAGTTAAGGTCAGGTCAAGATCACCCTGCAACTTTTGTGTGAAACATTTTTTTTTAAGTGATTCCAACAAGGTACTCCGTTGTCTCAAGATTCTTGCTTTTTTTTGTTTTTTTTAATGGCCATTTTATGGTTAAAATATGGGTTAAATCGAGAAAAATAATAAGAAAATAGTTCTTTTTTTTTCGTTTTTCAATCGAAATCCGTGGTAAAATGGGTGTTTCCATTAAAAAAAAAAACAACTTCCGGTCTAAAAACACCACTTGCAGTCTAGACCGGAAATCGTAATATGTACCGTTCAATGGCCCCTTCGATGCCCCACAATTTTTGTAGAAGAATGAATCTGTTTACTTGATATTTGTTTTATGTTATACATTATTATACTTAATAAAATAACTAGGTATATTAAAAGAAAAATCGAAAATAGGTTCTCTATTTTCGCCTGCAGTGTAGAGAGGTTAGTCCCTTGCTCGCCTGAAGATGTAAACTACGAAACGCTTAGTTTATTTTTTGTATTTTATGTTTGGGGGAGGTTTTCAACTTAACATTCTTTTTGTACCTGACACTTAGGTTGTATTAGCATTGACGAGTATTATAGCCTGTATGGAAGCTTTATGAGCCTATATGGAAGGTTGGAAACCTTAGAAGCTTGTGCGTGGAAGCCTTAGGAGTTGCGTGAGCTATGGGAATTTTAAGCTCGTTTAATTTTTTGGCAGAAAATTAATTCGATTTTGTCAGGTTTATTGAATTTTTATTTCATTTACAATAAATGCAAGCAATCCGTATTTATAGATCAAATATAAAATTTTAGAGCTAGGATCCGACACTGGTTATTGAACTGCATGGTACTTGGGTAAACGTCCGAACACTCTCTACGTTGGTTCCGCATAAGCTCTGTAGCGATGTCAGAGTCTATCAGAAAATTAGTACAGAAAAATATCATTTTATGAATTGTGGTCGTCTCCAATGAGTTGTGGATCTATAAACTATTTTGTTTATTGACCCTAAATCCTTGCTTTAGTTCGAATTTCAAAATATTTGGATTTTTTCAAATAAAAATTAGCCAAAAATTCGAAAGTACAATGAAATTTTTGGAAACATGCCTGAAATTCCGTTTTCCTGCACCGGTCTTCGGTTATGAGAAATACGACATTCTGTCTATGATTTTGGTAGTTTTGGCCGAATCCATGGATACATAGTTTTTTGAAGGATTATCGAATTCTTTTTGAAACATGGGTGAAATTTTCTATGAAAAATTGGAGATGCCGCGATAAGCTCTACATTCACATCTCGTCAGGCGCATGAAAAACAATTCGAAGGTCATGCACATACCGTATGCTTTTCTCGTATGACTGCGAGCGCCAAGAAGACAGTTAAGAGTCTAGAGTGCGCTGGTTGAGGGGGCGAAGAGCGGAAGGCCGCTAATAAGCTCAGCGTCGCGTAGGCAATCGACTGATACATAGTGGACCAAACATAAATGCTATTTCTTATCCTGGTTTTATGCCAAAATTTTTATTATTCCTCTTTTTTGAGATTTATTGAAATTTTCTCTTAATTTACCATAAACGTACGCGATACCGGGAACTGTATACAATGCAAAAGTAAAAAATTGCATACACGGGTTGACGTTCGAACCCGCTCCAGGCTGGGTCCGCAAGGGTTTTACAGTGGCTTTCGCGTGGAGTTTGAGAATTTGGCAGTCTCCGAAGAGTTATAGATCTGTAACTAATTTTGGTTAACGGCGACCATAGGCCTTGTTTTAGTCCAATTTTTGTTAAAATTTGGAATTATTTTTTTCAAAAATCCGGAATTAAATTTCCCTGCAACGGCGTGATCTCAATCGGTAGTATGCCTGTTAACATCGTTTGCTACAGCGGGAAAATTTCGAAACATTGGTAAAATTTTATTTTCCCGCTCTGCGCTTTTATTTTTATCTGGTCCTAAATTCGTCATCTGTAAATTAACCACAAAAATTCTCTAAATCGGTAAATATTATTTCTATTTTCCTCGGCACCGGTCACATTTCTGTCGAACTTTTTCACATAAACAAACGTCCCGTGGAAACGCACGGACAAAAACCTATTTTGGTACCACATCTACTCCAGATCGATTCGACGCCGTACACAATCGGATTTTTTTTTAGCGTGGCTCCGGCACCCCGCACAAATATTTAGAATTCGGCACATGAGCCGACCTAAATTTACATTCCCCGTCAATCATCCGTCCGTACGGTTAGCACAGATCAACACATTTTAAAGATCAAAGACGGGCGTCCCCCATTAATTGATATAAATTCCATATAATTACAGCGTTGTGTGTTCGTATAAATTCTTGATGTTCGGACGTTTAGCGTAAACGCGAACGCGTCGTTCTGGTTCGGCGTTGTCAATCGCGTACTGCCGCACTCGAAAATGACGCCTCGGAACCAAAACGTACTGTCGGCTACAAAAGTGGTGCCCCAAAACACAGATGGTACCGTAAAAGTCTTTAAGTACTTTATTTTTCAATAACTAGGTAGGAATTTATTTGTTAAATTTGTTTTTTGTGTAATTTCACTATTTTTTTTTAAACAGTGCAATTTAAAACTTTATGGTAGATTTAGTTTACTGATATTAATGTTGTTTTTACCATATAGTTAACATTTAGTTTAAGAACTAGAATCCGCCACAGTACATGATTAGAGTTAGTTTTAATATTCAGTGTGAAAATAAAGGATTGAGTCTTATTCTAAATAATTTTCTTGACACATAACCTGGCAAACTCGCAATTCAACATGACAACTTCTCATGTGGACAGTTACTAGTCCAGGCGGTAGAGCAGTAAAAGTAGACTTTGGCGTTTGTGTTTGAAGTCATCCCAAATATTATGTAGAATAGGAATCCGAGATTGCCTGTTCTAAAAAACCATTGCTAAATTCAGGGGATCAACAAACTTACAAAAAGAACGAACAATTGCCCGTTTTTCGGCATATTTTTCCCTGGAACATTGAAAGAAAACCTTAAATAAAAAAAGTCTTTATTTTTTGTTTATTTGACGATTTTCTATAAAGTTACAACAACAGCGAATCAAAAAAGTTGAATTATGCATTAACAATGGACGAAAATTAGTAGAAAATCATATGTATACTTGGAGCAATTTTTAAAATAAGTAAATATTTATAAATATCGATGAAACTTTGTGAACAAATAGTAAAACATGCCAATTCTACCATAAAAATTTTGCAACGATCGATAGCGTGGTTTTCCATTGACAGGATTGTTAATTAAGAAAATTTCAAGAAGTTTATCGGCGTACGTGGGTTTAAATTAAGGTTTAGAAAAGGCAGACAATTTTTTAGAGATACTTGTTGTCATAATAAACAGTGATCAATACTAATAGTAGGTACCTACCTATTTTTACAGTTTTATAACCATTTTGAATTTTTTTAAAATTTTCAACGTTGTACTCTATAAACAATTATTTATTGCCCAGGGAATTTTCTATCGACAAAATCTTGCACACATAAAAACTACGTTGTAACCCCTTGCTTTTTAACCAAATACGACAGCATTCTACTGTGTAGATTCTGAGATATAGAAGAAAATTTTGTTATACTGCAATGAATTAACAGATATCATTAAAATAAGAAAATATATATTTTTTAATTTAATCATTAAAACGTTAATTTCGTGGAATGCATTGATGAACACAAACTAATAAAACTTGATTATCATAATATAACTATTTTTTAAAAGCAAACGAAAGTGGCATAATCCTTTAAACTCAAAATTCGTGCAAAAATTATTTATTTTATTCATTTTTGTGGACATATTCGTATTCCTCTCAATATACTATATCAAATTAAAACAAAAATCGTCTTTATAAGTACTACTGTTCCCGAGAAAGTAATCTTTTATCGCGCATACGCATTTTGAAACCCACGTAGCGTAGCGTTACGAGGTAGTTTTTATGTGTGCAAGATTTTGTCGATTGCATAGAAAATTCCCTGGGCAATAAATGATTGTTTATAGGGTAAAACGTTGAAAAATTAA